GGAATGCCAGATTGATGCAATACAAGAGTTATAAATTTGAGGAAGATAGTGAATAATGAAGGATATGTAAAAATTATATAGTTGGCCTCCCATAAATAGTAACATTATCAACTATAAGGCTAAATTAAATAAACTTAAAGCACATTTATTGTATTGTTGCACATTATTTTCTTAAGAATAGAATTTTACTGGGTTAACTTGAAATAGTTGTGGTGTAAGAATTTTAAAATGGTAAGTCTAAAGTGAGTTGAATTTTACTTAAAGTGGAAAGTAAAAGTTTCCACTTCTCAAAGTCAAAATCACTTGACCAACTATTCAAGAGCGACCCTAAAGATTATGAATTAATGTTTTATCTTTTAATGAAGTTTCATTTAATAAATCTCTTCAGTTTCGAAGATGAAGTTATGAAACTTTATGATGATTGTAAGCTCATTTAATGTAGTGTTTGACAACCTTTTCCCCTTGTTGTAATGTTTTGAATTCTCTATACTTTTACATATTTTAGTATCATAGCTAAACCTAGACAAGAGCAAGGCATCCTTCACACATCACCTCAAATTTCATATGGTTATTAAGAAAACTTTTGTACATTTTTGTGATTGTTTGCTCATTGAGAAAATATCATTTTTTTTTTAATTTTCTTTAAGGCATATAACACGCAAGTGAAGAATGATTATAAAAATATTATTCATCAAATGATGAAATAGCTCAATTTATTTCTAGAGGAGAATTAGAATAGAAAAATTCAACATAAATTGCAAATACAACTAAATAAAGAGATTTATAGATCAATTGAAGAAGAGCCTCCATTAATTGAATAAACTTTTCTTATCATTCCAGCTTCATAATTACAATAATCCAAATCACATATCAATGATCCTCCTCAAATACAATATTTAGTTATCCCATTACCAGTCAAAGTTATACTAGTATCATTGCTTTCATCACCCCCCTTCTGAAATTTTGCAAATTTTTCACTTTTTTTAATCAATTATTAAGGTCCTAATGATGTTATTTGCTTGATGTATATTAATAATTATTATATGCAAATATTTATATAATGATCATGTTGCAAGAAAAAAAAATTCTTTTGCCTATTTAAATCTCTTCCACATATTTTATAACTTGAAATACCTTCAACTTCTAGGGAAATGTTCTTTTAGATCCAAAGGAATAGATGTAGCACTATACAATTAAATTTGTGAATGATAATAAAGAATAAAAGAAATTGCTTAGTTTGGATAGTTACCTCCTCTTAATGATAATATCAATAACTTTTATAAGAATAAATTAAATAAATTTATCAATATTTTATTTTATTATTGCACTTTTATTTTATGCTGATGCAGTTGTGCTTTGTGAATGTGAAAAATATGAAGTATGATGTGAGTTGAATTTTAATCTAAGTGGAAGTCAAAAGCTGCCACCTCACCTTGCCATTTCATCAAAGTAAAAGTCAAAAAAAAAAAAAGATTAGTGTTTTATCTTTTATTGGGTCTACATTCAAGAGATAAACAACCCTTTAGTTTTCAAAATAAACTTATGAAACCTTATGATAGTTTCAAGCTCATTTAACGTTGTGTTTTATCACATTTTTTTGCTCTTGTAATGTTTTGAGTTCTCCACAACTTGTACTTGTTATAAATATTAAAATTATGACCATGAAACAATCTTTGATGAATTGAAACTAGTTTTGAGAAAATTATCTATATATTTTGGTGGATTATTGGTTGTTGAAACCTTGTTCCTTGGTTAGGAGACTTGTAACAACCCTACTTAGTGAGAGGATATCTATCTTATTATTTAGGTATTTTATTTTAATTCTTTGTTATATTTCTCCTCCCCTTCTTACTTTTTTATTATGAGTTTCTCTCTCATTTCCCACACTCCTATTGCAATTTATGCACAAAATACCACTTAACATCCACCTAAAACTAGTAGCTTGCCTCCCTTCAACTTTATATACTAAGATCCCCAACATAATCATTCCTAATAACTCATGAACATTATTTCTAAAATTTTAAGCATTCCAAAAGAATTCACACGCATTGCAACGCTTGACCTAAATTATATTTAATATCCTAACACAATTAGCAAAAATAAAACAATCCAATACTTACCCCTCTCCTTGTAGAGTTTGAACACTAAGGACTTTTAACCTCTTAACATCCACAAACTCGTAAATTACTCCTAATACATTTTTCTAAATCTCATCCTAACCCAAAAAAAAAAGTAGCTATAAAATTTCACCTAACATGCCCCCATACCATGAAATTCCAACTCAAAAAACAGTCACTTCTAATTCATTATCTCATATTATAATTGGTTGTTTATAGCTTCAATTTATGTTGAAGAGCATATTGTGGAATGAGGTTATTCAGGCTTCGTTTGCAACGGCTTTTTTACTGCTTCTTAAAGCAGCTTTTAAGTACAAAAATTTTAACTTTTGTACTAAAAAGTTGTTTTAAGAAGCAGTATGAAAGCCATCCCAAATGAAGCCTTAACCTTCGAAATGACAGCACAACTCCATGACATTGCCTCCAAATGCTCCATTGGTATAGATGTTCCAATAATGATTCATTGACTAAGATTCTTCTTAGGTGGTGTTAAAGAACTTTGTTATAAAATTGAATGAGTTTAACTATCAAGTTGGCATTTAGTGTGTAGTCCCACCAATATTTACTACGCAAAAGGAGTACCTTGTCAACCTCCTTAAAAGCTCAGGCTTATGTTTTATTGACTTCAAAGATTAATTAATCACAACTATAATGGAATGCACTTGAAGATATGGTTGAAGCTTCCTAGTACAATCTATCAATGTTAGGGTTAATTTTTTTATTAAATGGGTAATTCTTCTCTGAGCTTTGTCAGAGCCCTTTCATATGTAAAAAATTGGCAATTACTTTTTTATAACTCGTCTGATTAAGCATAAACTTATTACGAATTTCCAACTTTGAGAAATAAAAACATTGGTTCTCTCTTTTCAAAGAAGAGAGAAACTCCATTTTTTCTAGTTGAAGAAAATTTTTGAATTTTCTATTCGCGGTTTCTTCGCTCGACGCGAATGGCGTCGGAGGATCGCGGGACTCAAGCTCCCGGAGTCTCAGTCAACCTCCATCACCCTCCACCATCACGGAAGATCTCGCGTCAATTCGATTTGTCTCCACCTGCTTTCGAAGACATTGGTCGCGAGAAGGAAAATATGTTCTGGTTTAACAAAGATAGGCCTCTGATTATGAAGGAAGGAGCTTTTGAGGAAAAGAAGAAGATAGTTGACTGCATTGACAAATTTTAATGGAACAATCAAAATCAAAGGTATTCAGCAAACAAGGAACAAATCTCCACAAAGGCAACCAGCTCCAAAAAGAGGATTGTACTCAAACCTCTTGTAAGAATGCGGCAAAAGTTAATAAGGAAGTTGTGTATGGTGCTCAGAAAGATAATCAGATTACTGATGATATGGTTTTAGAAGAAGTCAATATGAATTCTAAGGAACATGAAGGCGTAGACAAGGCTGATCGGTGCTCTGGCCTGACCAAAGTTCGGGAATGCGAATCTAGAGAACTTGGGAATCGTATTCAAATAAACAATGTTAAATGTTCAAATCCTGTTACTGAAAAACAGGTGCTGAATGCTTGGAAGAAGAAGGATAATATCAAAGTCTCTGAACTTAATTTCGGAGAAAATTTTGTGAATGAAGACGGAGCTGTTAAACTTCATGTTGGAAATGAATTTGATAATTCAAACAGACTTAAGAAGTCTCTGGTGATAAAGATCTTTGGTAATAATATCCCTTTCAATGTCATTAGTATGGAGTTAAGGAAACAATGGTCCAAGTTCGACAAATTTCATTTAACTCAACTAGGACTTGGATGGGTGCTTTGTGCCTTTGAGAATCAAGAATCTTCGGAGGAAATAATTGCTTCAGGTCCCTGGTATGTCAATGGCAACATAGTGGGTATGGACAGGTGGTCAGCAGCTTTCTCACCTACTTCATTCAAAGGCCTCACAGCCCCAATTTGGATCCGGATGCCAAATCTTCCACTTAAATGCTGGGATGAAGTGAATGTTTGTAGATTTGCTTCCATGGTGGGGACTCCTTACTTGATCGATGATAACATGTTCCAGTGGTCTAGAAGAGAACTCGCAAGGGTTTGTGTGAGAATCAAACTCGATGAGAAGTTACCCATGGGTGCTTGGGTTGAAGGAGAACTTGGAAAATTTTACCATAACATTGAATATGAAAGGTTGCCAACATTTTGCTTCAACTGTGGTAAGCTTGGTCACTTAAGGGAGGAATGTTTGAAGAAATCTACTTCAAACAGGTCTAAACAAGGGATTGAAGCTCAAACCAGTGAAGGTGAAGTTGGAGCTGGAGATACAAGCAAAATTACTCAAAATCAGGTTCCTATTGATAATGGCAAAGGAGATGGCTATGGTCCTTGGATTCATGTGGACTACAAAGCTAAGAAGAATCATAAAAAAGTTACTAGGAGCAAGGAAATAATAAAGGCCAATTCTAGTTTGGAGGGGAGAACAAAAGAAGCTGTTAAACCAAGCAGTACAATCAGTACTATTGCTAGGAATAATTTGTTAAAACAAAATTCAACTGATTCAAGTTGTTTGAATTAGAAAGCAGGATATGAGGTAACAGAAACCAATCCTAATGTTGATATCTGCTATGCTGTAGTGGGAACCAGATCTGGAGAGGTTTCTGATGTTAAAATTCCGGGTATAAATAACAAGTTCGAAATTCTGGGAAATATAGCTGAGGAAGGAGAAATAGTTGAGGAAGGTCTACAACCAAATGCACATGAAGGAATTCAGGCATAGCCAATTGATGTTGTATCTAAAGCTTGTGAAGATACCTCTTCTACTGTTAAGAAGAGAGGAACAAAACAGTTAAAAAACCTAGGACCTATCAGCCTGAAGATAAGGGGCAGGAAAAATGAAGAAGAGGCTAAGGAGAAAGGGGGAATTTATTCCCCATTGATCCATAAATGAATTCCATCTTATTTTGGAATTGTAGAGGAGCCAAGAAAAAGAGGGCTTCTCTCTACCTCAAGGAGGTGGTTAAAGATCAAAATGTTCTTTTCGTTGGGCTATTGGAGACTAAACTAGTCTTTATTGAGCATAAAGATATGAAATCTTTAATTGGCACTGGTTGGAATTACAGTTTTGTTCCGTCCGCTGGTTTATCTGGAGGCATTCTTGCTCTGTGGAGAAGCAGCCTAGCTAATTTCAACATGATTGAGTCTTCATCTCAATTCATTGTAGGTGATTTGGATATCCTCAACAAGGGGAAATGGAGAGTAGCTACTATATATGGCAGCAAAGATGTGTACAATAGAAGATTTCTTTGGAATGGCTTGGAAAAACATATCACCAATGATTGGCCTTTGGTGATCGGTGGAGATTTCAATTGTCTTTTGGCTAAAGAAGACAAGATAGGTGGCAGGAAATTTAACTTCTCTTTGGGGCCAAGAGAGATGAAATACTTTATGACTTCTAATGATCGTCATGAGCTAAATTTCATTGGTCCTAGAATGACCTGGAGCAATAATAAGAAAGGCTATGATCGGATAATGGAAAGATTAGATCGAATTTTGGTCAATTTTGTTGCGGTGAACTGTAATCAACAGATGGTTGTTAAACATCTACCCAGAATTGCATCTGATCACTGTCCTATCCTCCTCAATACTTCAGTTTTTCCTTCCAATAGTAAAAGATCTATCAAATTCGAGGATGTGTGGGCTTCGTATCTGGCATCCTTTGATGTTGTGAAAAAAGCATGGATGAGAAGAGACTCAGGATCTCCAACTGAAATTCTGAATTATAAGTTCAAAAGGGCTCTCAAATCCTTATTCTTTTGGAATAAGGCTAAGCACAAAGAGTTGAATCATATGAAGGACTTGCTCAGAAAAGAAATTCTTATTCTTAAAACTAAAGAATCTGAAGTTGGTATGCTATCCATGGATGATTATTCTCTTATGAAATTTAAAATCAATGAGCTCAACTCTACTTTGACTCGGTTAAACACGTGGTGGAGACAACGATCCAAAGTAAAATGGATAAGTGAAGAAGACCAAATTTCAAAAAAATTTCACTCAATGGCAAGTGCTAGAAAGAACAACAATCTCATTCCTTGCATTAAGGATGGCAACGGGATTATGGTGGAAAATCATAACCAAATTGAAGACGTTTTCTTACAATACTTTAAAGACAAGTGGCGAGATAGAAGATGCTTACTTGAAGGTTGGACGAATATTCACTCTTTTATGGATGAGGATGATAAAAGTCAGACAAACAAAGAATTCATTTTTGAAGAAGTAGAAAATGCTATTAAAGATACCACGAGTGGATCTTCTCCAGGTGAAGACGATATCTCATATTCTTTTCTCAAAATCTATTGGCCTATTATTGGAATTGAATTCTGGGAAGCTATGAGAAATTTCTTTGAAACTGCTAAGATGAACGAGGATTAGAAGAGAACTTTGATTGTCCTAATTCCCAAAATTAACAATCCAAAATATGCTTATAATTATAGGTCTATTAGCCTTTGTAACACGGTGTACAAAATTGCTTCCAAAGTTCTTCTTAACATATTAAAATGTATTATTCCAAAATTAATCTTACTTGAACAAGCTGTCTTTCTTAGAGGGAGATCTCTTCAAGACCATCTTTTGATAGCTCATGAACTTATACATAAGTTCAGGTTCTCTAAAGCTTCAAAAGGACTGGTGTCTATTAAATTAGACATGGAACAAGCATATGATTCAATGGGGCGCCCAACTCTTCAAAAAATTCTTTGTTACTTTGGTTTTTCGGATTTCTTCTCCAAGCTTATTTTGGAATGTGTTCAAAATCCGGTTTTCTCTATTTTAATTAATGGAATTCCTTCCAACTGGATCAAAGCTAGGTGTGGTTTTAGATAAGGTTGCCCCTTATCTCCTTACCTTTTCATTTTATGTTCTCAGCTTCTTTCTAATGCAATTATGGAAAGGGATGATTTTGGTGTTCGGGTTAACAGTAACAACCCAAGAATTTCGCACTTATTATACGCTAATGATATCATCTTCTTTGCTGAAGCTAAACTAAAAAATGTGAGAACTATAAAAATTATTGTCAACAGTTACTGTGGTTGGACTGGCCAAAAGGTGAACATAAGAAAATCTAGTATGCTTTTTGGAAAAGCAATCTCTAGCTTGAAGAAAAGAAAAATTAAAGACATCATGGGATTCAAAGAAGTGAAGGAATTCAATTATCTGGGAACAAAATTGGCTTTAAAAAGGTTGTCTAAAGTGGATTTCCAATTCATATTGGACAAAATTCTGAAGAAGCTTAATAGTTGGGGGCTCAAGTTCATCTAATTAGCAGGTAAAATTACTTTGGTAAAGTATGTTATTCTCTCGATCCCTTCTTTCCATTCAACAGTGTCTTTAGTGCCGAGAGCTATTCTTCGAGAGGTGGAAAAGCTTTGCCGAAATTTTATATGGGATAAATCTAATGAAGATCATGGATTGCATTATGTTAGCTGGAAGAAGATGTGTGATCCAGTTGAATAAGGCGGCAGAGGAATTCATTCCTGCTTTAGCAAAATGGGTCCTCTAAGAGCTAAATTAGCTTGGAAATACATGAAAGAAGATGATTCCTTATTGCATAATTTTTTTTTCCAAAATATGGTTCCTGTTGGGCTGTTGAGAGCAGAAACAAATCTAATTCTGTTGCATGGAAAATTATCAAAGATGGTAGTAAATCTTTGAGAAATATTGTGAGATGGAATGTAGCAAACAATCACTCTATTGATGTTTTTGAAGACACCTGGATTTGAGACATGCTTAAATAAATGGCCTACATTTGTTAACTCTCAAGAAGTAGTTGATGCTTTAAGAGTGGAAAATTTAATTTATGAAAATCAATGGAGTATTCCTGAACTTCAGAAATATTTCGGCAAGGAACTGCTGGATTTAATCTGTAAGATTGATATCAATCCGGATCTTATTGAAGATCAATTTGAACTCATTCATATGAAATCTGGAAGATCTATTACATCCATGGCTCCTGATCAAAATGCTTATAAATCAAATGACATTGTTGAATGGAAATGGTTGAAAAAAGCAAAACTATATGCCAAAGTAGAAAATTTCTAGTGGAGAGTTTTAAACAACGCCTTGCCTTCCAATGCTTTTTTATCTTACAGAAGAATTCATAGGATAACTAACTGTCCTAGAGGCTGTAATGAGGAGGAGAATATTAGCCATCTAACTTGTAAATGTCAGAAGATTGTGGATGTTATTCATCAATTGAACGAATGGGGCTTTTACATTCCTCTATTCGAAAACAAAGAAGAGATGTATAAATGGCTAACAGATCAAAACGTATTTCTCTCTAGCTTACTTTGCAATGCAGTTTACTTTACTTGGAAGGATAGGCATGAAATTGTGCACGGGAAGAAGGAAAGAAGTTCATGTTACATAGCTGCCGAAGCTGTTAGCTATGTAGGAGTTCTTAATACTCCGAATTATATCAAATCAGGACGGTTGAGAACAAATCAGCATCTGTTGTTTGAAAATCGTTGGTATTCTCCTCCACCCAATTGGATCAAGGTGAATGTAGATGCTACATTATTTCATTCTTATAAAGGAGGAATTGGAGGAGTGGCTAGAGATCACAAAGGAAGATTTACAGCTGCCTATGGTATATCTCAATTGCATTGGGATATAACTTATTTGGAGTATCAAGCTATAGCTTCAGTCAAAGAGATGATCAAGGATCGTGCAAGGATTTCAAGGCATTATCATTGAGAGTGACAATATGAATGTTATCAAGTTGATCCATAAATCTTTCAAGAAGGGATGCCGAGGTATGGAAAAGTTTTCTTTTGTGGATACTTTTAATTATGTTATTTTTAATCATATCAATAGAGATTGTAATAAGTTAACGGACTTATGTGCTAACTTTGGTGCTTTTTCTTCTTTCTTTTGGGATGATTTAATCCTTGACAAGGTTCCTTCATTTATCAAAATTTTGGAGGAATCTATTGCTTGTATTCGTTAGGGGCTCCTTTTGGTCCCTTAGTTTATTTTCTATAGAATTTGCTTTATGCTTTTTAAAAAAAAAAAAAAGGAAGTTACCAAGTATGCATTTAATTACTTCAATACTAATTCTTAATTCATGTAATCTTTAATTTTTGTTTTTTAAGTTCATAATGAATGAAGCACGTCTCTCTCTTTTTGGGGACATTTAGGCCATTTAAGGCAAACTCACACACACAACGCATACACAAAGACTTGAACCCAAGACCTCTTAGTTGAAAGCCTAAGCTCTCAACCAACAGGTCAAAGTGAGCTGCTCTCTCTCTCTCTCTTTCTCTCTAAAAATCTAGAAATAAATAGATCTAAGGTTGGCAACCTCCTAATCAACTTTTGAACAAGCTTTGGATATCAAAGAGGATCCATTCTCCACATAGCTATTACATTCTATAAATTTTCTTT